CACCATGGCACTGGACGACGTGGCTGTGCGGCCTGGGCCCTGCTGGGCCCCCAGGCACTGCTCCTTCGAGGACTCGGCCTGCGGCTTCTCCACGGGGGGCTGGGGCCTCTGGATTCGCCAGACCAATGCCACGGGCCCTACCGCCTGTGGCCCCCGTGTTGACCACACCACACAGACACCTCAGGGTGCTGGCAGGGGTGGGGTGGTGAGGAGGTGGGCAGAGGGGTGGGAGGAGGGGCAGGGCTGGCCGGCTGACCTTGGCACCCCCCCAGGGCACTACATGGTGGTGGACATGAGCCCGCAGGCGCTGCCCCGCGGCCGCATGGCCTCCCTGACCTCAGAGGAGCACAGGCCCCTGGCCCGGCCAGCCTGCCTGACCTTCTGGTACCACCTGAGCCTCAGTAACCCAGGTAAGGGGCTACTGGGAGCAGGGCCACAGGGTCCCCACAGGTCCCTGTGCCACGGCCACTTGGGAGCCCACAGGGAAGGGCCCTGAGCAGCCAGTCTCCCCCACCACCTCTGACCTGGTCTGGCTGCTCGGGCGGCAGGCACTCTACAGGTTTACGTGGACGCGGCTGGAAGGAGTCAGGTGCTCCGCATTAGCAGTCATGGAGGGTTTGCCTGGCGTCTGGGCAGCGTGGATGTGCGGGCTGAGCAGGCCTGGAGGGTGAGAGTGGTGGGGGTCTTCCTCACCCCAGGGCTGTCCAGTCTAGACCAAGCGTGAGCCCACCCTGCCCTGTGCCTGCCCAGGTGGTGTTTGAGGCCGTGGCCGCCGGCGTGGAGCACGCCTACATCGCGCTGGACGACATGCTCCTTCAGGATGGGCCCTGCCCTCGGCCAGGTGGGCGCCCCGTGGGTGGCCTGACCCTGTGACCTGCTTGGCTCCTGGGTGGCACCAGCTCCATGCCAACCCCCAGCCGCCTGGTCTGACCTCTACCCCAGCAGTGGTGGTGCCCCAGGGACGGAGGGAAGTGGGGCAACAGTCCTTACTGCCCGGGTCCCCTGCAGCTTCCTGTGACTTCGAGGCTGGTCTGTGTGGCTGGAGCCATCTTCCCTGGCCCGGCCTGGGTGGGTACAGCTGGGACTGGAGCAGTGGGGCCACACCCTCCCGCTACCCCCAGCCCGCCGTGGACCACACCCTGGGCACAGAGGCAGGTGGGTCTGAGTTGGGAAGGGACCCCGGAACCACACACATCCAGAGGCACACATCCCACCCTAACCCGGGCCAGCCAGGCCAGCCCGGCCCCGATCCCATCAGGATCAGAGGCCGAAGGTCTAAGGGCCGGCTCCATCTGGTCGGCTGGGTACCCTGCCCTCTCTTGTTCCTAGGCCACTTTGCTCTCTTTGAAACCAGCGTGCTGGGCCCTGGGGGCCGAGCGGCCTGGCTGCGCAGCCAGCCACTGCCCGCCACTCAGGCCTCCTGCCTCCGCTTCTGGTACCACATGGGCTTTCCTGAGCACTTCTGTGAGTCGGGCCAGCAGTGCCTGGGCAGTAGGAGGGCTGGGGCCAGGTCAGGTCAGGGGCCTGATGCAACCTGGCCCCACTCTCAGACAAAGGCGAGCTGCGGGTCCTGCTGAGCAGCGCCCGGGGTCAGCTGGCCGTGTGGGGCACTGGTGGGCGCCAGCGGCACCAGTGGCTGGAAGGCCAGGTGGAGGTGGCCAGCGCCGAGGAGTTCCAGGTGAGGCCAGACTGCCCAGAGCCACGTGCCTGCGGCGGGCCCGGGCGGGGCCATCCTCCTCTGTAGGCCCACACAGCCACTCCTCCCTCCTGGTCAGATTGTGTTTGAAGCCACCCTGGGTGGCCAGCCAGCCCGGGGGCCCATTGCCCTGGACGACGTCGAGTTTCTGGCCGGGCAGCGCTGCCAGCTGCCTACACCCAGCCAGGGTAAGCACTGCGCAGGCGGGCCGGCCCCACTCTGGGTCTGGCCTCCCCCGGCCTGGAGGGTTGTGGCCTGCATGGCCGCTGGCAGCCCTGCTCTTGGCCCAGGAGACCAGGACCTTGCAGTGTCCCCTCCCTCAGCAGCTGTGCCCTACCCCGGGGCTGGGTGGTCCCTCGTCCCTGGTCCCTGAGGAGCCACATCAGCTAGCGGTGCCCCCTCCCCGGCCTCTTCACTCCGCGCTCCCGCTTCCAGGGTGGGGCTGGGCCCTGGAGGCGGTGCCCGGGCAGGCCAGAGACCACAGACCACAGCCAGCCTCTTCACGGAGCGCTCGCTGGTGGCTGCCGCCTCGCGAGGAAGGGGGCGTTAGCCTGGGGCTACGATCCCCCAGGTCTGCAGACGGCAGCCGCCTGCTGGCCAGGGCCCAGTCACAGCCAGGAGCCATCTCTTGGCATGAGCGGCACCCCCTCTAGCGGGTGAACCTGGAGCCCTCGGGGGCTATGGGGACGGCTGTGCTTGCCCTTGGCTGTGGGGCTGACAGGGAGGGCTCAAATTCCGGGTCACGTGCCCGCGGCCCGCAGGGGACACGGCAGTGGCCACATCAGTGCCAGCCGTGGTCGGCGGCACCGTCTTGCTCCTCATGCTCCTGCTACTGCTTGGACTCGTGGGATGGCGCTGGCTGCGGAAGGGGCGCTGCCTCTCCAGGCGCAAGGCGGAGGCCGTGGCCCCCGGCTTCGACAACATCCTCTTCAGCGCGGTAGGAGCTGAGTCCGCTGAGCCCTGCACTTGGCTTGATGGCTGGGCAGTGAATGGACCCCTCCTGGCCCACCCACCCAACCAGGGCCGGCCCACGTGCAGGGCCGCTCCCATCAGCAGTCATGAAGTTCCTCTCCCTCCTCCTAGGACCACGTCACCCTGCCACCATCGGTCACCAATGACCAGTAGATCACCCAGAGAAGACCCCAGCTCCTCACCTGTGTTCCTCACCTCCCCAGGACCCTGGCCCCAGGACCAACACTTGCCCCTCCCTCAGGACGCGCTGACCCCTGCGTCCATCACCCTCCACAGACTGCCCCCACAGACCCGGGTTTGGTCCTTGCCCCAACAATAAACGCCCTGGCCCACGAGGGATGCCCTGCTGGCCAGCAGGGTCGAGGTTTGTGTGTCCTACTCTGCCCATCAGCAGGAAGGGGGGATCCTCAGACTCAACCCAACCTGCCCCAGAGGATGCGCATGGGGGCGCCTCCTGCGTGTCTCAGTGACTTAGTTGACAGGAAACAGGCCGCGTGATACAGGGCCAGGGGCTACAGACACTAGGAGGCCGATGCAGTGGGACCCTGAGAAGCCGCTGCCCCAGGCCAGGCAAGCCCCAGCCCAACCTTGTGGGAATCTGACCCAGGGCCCATCCGAGCCCCTGCCTCACTATGCGATTCTGCATGATTTAGGACAGAGGGAAACCCCCACGGGTGCAGGCGATGGGCTGATGAACAAGTCCAAGGTGGGGAGGTGCCCTGATGTGTCCACTGTCCCATAGTAAGTGTTCCCCTGTCCAGAGCCCCAGAGGTTCCCATGTTCACCCTTCCATCATCAAGATCCCCATGTCCAACATCTCACAGTAAGGGTTTAAGCTGTCCCCAGAATCTGTCTCAAAGCAGAGGTCACTAAGTGTCCCCATGATGCCCCTGAGCAGGTCACTGGTAGGCAAAGCTGAGGTTCCTGCCCTCCTGGCTTCCCAGGGCCTGAGGACAAAGGTGACCCCCTAGACGTGTCCTCAAGGTCCCCACCCACACGCCAGCCTCTAATAAAATGGAGCCCCGAGTCTTTCTAACCCAGAGAAGGTCCCAGGCTCTGACCTTCCGTGCCGGAGTTTCAGACACACCCTGCCTGGGTCTGGAAGGCTCTATGGGGAATGGCTGTCCTGGGGGAGAGTGGCGGCCCATGGCTAGGTGCCCCCTCCAGTCCGGGGGATCCACCTTGGCACTACGGCCCCTGGGTTCTGCAGGGGAGAACAGGGGCCTGGTGCCAAGAGGCTGACCTTCGCCCACTAACAGTCCCTGCAGACGGGACGAGGACCAGAGCCCGCACAGAGCCCTTCACACCCCTCGGCCCTCCACCTGCCATGGCATCTCATGGTATCAGCCCTTCGGCACGCTGTGGGCCAAAGGCGGGGGTGCTAAAGGTGCGACAGAAGAGACTGGACAGCACGACGCGCCACCAGCAGGAAGGGCGACAAACGTTTATTCGTTTCTCTAAGGGCCGGGCTGGAGACACAGCTCCTCTCCCAGACGGCCAGGCCGCCCGCCCCCGGTGAGGCGGTCCCCCTCAGGGCTCCCCGGGAGCCACACGCAGCTGGGCAGACACGGGGGAGAGGAAGGTGGCGCTCCGCACCCCATTTGAGGGACGGGGGCAGGGAGGAAAAAACCAGGAGAAGCAAACACTTTGCAAAGTTTTGTTTGTTAGTCTGACAGCAGGTTTGGGGAGGGGTCCCGGGCAGGGCTGACGCCCTGCGTTCCACTTGGCCACGTGGAGAGACCCGCGCCGGCGGTGGCGGTCAGGGAACCAGCCAGGCGAGGTCAGCCGGACACACTGACTTCGAGGCTTTGTGTTCATTTCGCCCTTGGCCCCTTCTCGATGGGCTTCCCGACGTCCTTCCCCCGGAGCTTGAGGCCTGAAAGACCAGCAGCCCACTGAGCGCCGCGGCGCCCACTCGCGTTTTGAGGACCCCAGCCACAGCCCCGGGGGCGGCAGCAGGCACCCTCACCACCTCTGAGCGCCAGCTCCCTGCCTCCTTTGAGGGGGGGTGGGGGCAGGGCAGGAGGGGCAGGGAGGAACACGCCCCACTCTGCCCCCACTGGGCCCTCAGCCCCCACACACCTATTCTTCACGTTGAGTTTTTAAGAGCACGTGCCTCCCCATCCTTGAGGTGAGAGGGGAAACCCTTTCCCAGAACCAGGCCTCCTTGCTCGGGGAGCCTGGGGGCATGGGAAGCGAAATGTGACCGCGGCCAGTACCCGAGAGTGCGAGCCTGCGGCGCAGAGAATGGGGAAAGAGCCCAGACACTACTCACTTGTGAGAGTTTTCTTAAGTTTCTGGAGAATTCTGGGGCCCAGGGGCCTTCCTGTGCCTGTCCTCACCAGCCCCACCCAGGTCAGCGTGCCTGGCCAGCGAAGGCCGGCAGGGCACTCACCGATGGCTCTCTCGATCTTGCCCAGGACCTGATTGTTAGGGATGGCCCGGCCGCTCTCATAGTCCGCGATGACCTGCGGCTTCTCGTTGATTTTCTAAAGAGAACATGTACTTTGCACATTTCAGTTCAAAGAGATGCTGGGAGGCCCAGACATACCCAGGTGGGACGCCTTGGACACCGCGTTCCTGCGCTGACAGCAGCTCTCGGAGGCTCAGGGTCTCAGAGCCACGACACATGCAAGAGGAAGTTACAGCTAACACCCGTGGCTTCCCCAGAGCCTTCAGGGCCCCCGGAAGCCCCCTAAGTCCCCAGAGGAGCAGGGCTCGCGCCTCGGGTGCCTTCTGAAGGCCGTCCTCCCGCCTGCTTGATCCTGGGTCAGGGGGCCGCACGCTCACCGTCGCCAGGTCTTTCTGGGTCAGCCCCTTGCTCTGCCGGCCCTGCTGGATCACCTTGCCCACCTCCAGGGTCACCCGGTCGTGGTGCAGCTCCTCCGTCTCCCGATCCAACTTGGCCGTGTTCTTGGTGATCGAATGCTGTTTGTTCTGGCCAGCGGCCCCTGGACCAGCATGAGGCAAGACCAGAGGAGAGGGTTTGTAACAAACCCGATCAAGAGCCACTGCAGACGAGGAACCAGGCCCAGCAGGTGCCCATACCCAGGGTGACGAGCTGAGCCACTGCAGACAGGGAGCACCCAGGGAGACAAGCTGAGCCAGGCCACCCTGTATCAGCACCTTCACAGACCTAAGAATGTGGAGTCCAGAATTTCCTCCTAGTCTCGGGAAGTCCCCCCAACCTATGCCAACCACAGCTGCTCCGATGAGATCCAAGACACCTCCCAGCTCTGCAGCGGCCTCAGCTGCCAGCGGCCGTCCTGACACCCCTGGGGGCGCCAAGCAGGCACCTGCAGATATGAGCCCCAGCGGTATCCCCGGCTCTGCGAGTGGAAACACGAGTACCTACATTTCTTGGACGTCTCCACATCTTCTCCTCGTCTCTGAGCCGCTAAGATGGCCTAGGAAATTAGGAGATTTTTTTGGTCAAAATTAGCTTTGGTAGTACCTGGCAAATGCCAATCCAGGCTGCTGTCAGTCAGTCAGCACACTGCTAATGCCTCATGTTTTGTGAGCCCAGGCAGTCAGGCTCGGAGCTCATCCCCTTAAGCGCTGAGGTACCTGGGGCTTTTTCAAGGACTGACAAGCAACACTGGGTTTAGACCAAAGCTTGCTATATAAATCCCTGTACAACCAAATAACCAGGCAACTCTCAATAAACTGCTGCTAAGGGAAACAAAGAGCTCACCTCTGCTGTTGAGAAAGACGTGCTAATAGATTCCTTTTAGAAACCCACACTTGAAATAGATTTGTATCTCTACTAGACTCCACTGCAAAAACAGGAAGGAACATCGAGTGAGGACCTGGTTGGGCCTTCCTCAGTCATTCCGGCTCATAATAAAAGATGGCGCATCGCACAACACCTGCAAGCCCCACCCCAAACATCACCAAAGACAGTGATACCCCTCCATCCACAGTTGCCGAATGTTAACGCAACGCATTTCCTGAAGCTTCTGATACCTCCGCAAAGTTACTGTGGGATGTTTTGTTCTAAGTATCACATGTTCACAGGTGCTTTCTAGAACTGTTCACGACTCCTAGCTTGTGGCTATTAAATTTTCTTCGGGAAAGAAAAAAAAGGAGAGTGAATTTGGTTTTGACCAACTGCTAAGTCCAGGGCAGGTCAATGAATGCTGGTCACCAGGGCTGAAGCTAGTCATGGCTCAGAAGTGTCTAGGGCTGACCCAACGCGGCCTAAGAGAAGAAACAAGCAGAGGTCCCTCATGACTGAACTGCCCTTCACCCCCTTACACTGACTCACAGATGAACCTTGGATGGGTTAGCCAGACCGGGAACCCTCTGTCCCAAGTACCTCTCAGTGCATGCTGGCTACCCTTGCGAGATGGGAACACAAGGTCCACCTGCCTGCTGCGTCTCTAGGCCACCCCAGCCTAGGCCAAGGGCTCCCGACAGCCAGCAGCGTGCCACATCGGACTCCCAGGCACCCCGCAAAGGGAGTAAGAAGGCCCTGGGGCAGGGTGCCGGCCAACACTGCCCCTGTCCTATCCCTTCTCTGGCCCCACCACGGATCTCCGCCCCGAGGTCCTCCCCTGCCAAAGTCGCCCCGCTTCCCCTCCCTTCCCAATGTCCCTGTCCCCACTAAGAGGTCGAGGGCCTCAAGGGCCTCGGGACCCTGCCTGGTATCATTAGCCCGAAGACCGCCTCGACCCTTCCACCCCCACCCCGCCCCGCTCCCTGCCACCAGCTCGGGGCCCCGTCTCCCACCGCTGCCCCGGCCCCCGCCCCTGGCGCCTCTCCGCTCCCGTCCCG